CTTGGAGTGGTTGCTTTGCTCTTAATGTCCTGACATATGCAGATTAAAATACTGGTCCTGTGAGCTCATCTTTGAGAGCTGAGAGCATTTACCACTAGGAGGTGGCTAGCACAGTACTCAGGAATGTAGACCAATTTCTCATGGGTATCTACATTTTCCAGTGCTTGCTCTGGCTGGCAAGGAGTCAAGGGAAAGCCCTGTGGTTTAAATAGGGCTGAATGCCTTCAGTGCCTAAGAAAGGAAAAACTTTCCTGGATCTTATGAGATGAGACCCTTGTGGCTGTGAAGTAGTTGTGAGACTAAACTGCCCTGTGAATTGGAACAAAGTAACAGAAATGGAGAATACACTTTCTTTATACAAGGAGGCTTTCACCTATAAGGCACCTGGGGAAGGAAAGTCTCATTATACAGCAAAATTGCTTCCTATGCTAGAGCAAGGGCTTAAAATGTGATAAGTGTTAACTGTTTAAATTACTCTGAAAATAGAAGAAATAATACTGAATAAGAGATCTGCTGTGAGGAGGTAACACTTCAGTACAAGTTCAGATTTGTTTTTCTGTTAAGTATTTTTTTCCCTCGGGAAGTAACATCTACATGCTAAGCAGCAAGATTTATTTTTTTTTTTACCAGTGCTGCCTATGCATAAAAATAAGTGATTTTAATGGCCACAACTAAAATCTAATTTTTCATCAAATAATATTAATAACTAGATAGAATTTTTTTCATTAAAGCCACTTATAACTTTGTGTATATCCTGTAAGGAGCAATAGCCTCCCTAATCACATAACTAATCATGTTAATCTATTTTCTAGATGCATAAAACCCAGGAAAGCTGACTGCTTACAATAGTGATTCCACACTGTAGAAAACTAATTGAACCTCTTACCTTCATCCTGATACTGATAGCAATCATAAATTCAGAACACTTCTCAAAGTGTTCCAAGAACTTAGTGGGTTGTTTTTAATAAAACATGTATACACAGAAGAAAACTGGCCTTTTTTAGAGACATTGATATTTACCATTGCTGTTTGTCATTTCGATGTCAGCACCCGCATCAATTAAAAAATAGACTATATCCAACCTGCAGATCTCAATGGCTCTCATTAGTGGCGTTGTGTTGCCTATTGCAGGAGCATCCACTACCGCTCCAGCCTTCACTAACAGTTCAGCAATATCTAGGTGTCCGTTGTAGCAAGCGTGATGAAGGGGAGTCCACATGAAATTGTCTGTTGCATTTGCATCAGCCCTACAAAAGGGGAAGAAGAGTTACAGCAGATGAAGCTTGCTACAAGATACAGTAATGTCCAAAGCTCCAAGTATAACCAATGTTAGCTGACCACTACGGTATATTCAATGCACATAAATATTTTCACGTTGCTACTGCTACTCTGAAACCATTTCAGTATCTGATATATAGCTTGTCATGGAATATTAATTGTAAAAGCGTGCCTGGGTGGTGATCATATCCCCCTTCAAAGCCAATAGTGTCCTCTACATGGAGATTTTTACAGATACAGAGGAAAACGGGCATTCAAATGGCTTAGTCCTCTAAAATGCTGCAGGTGTTTGTGCTCTAGCTTCACTGAGAATGGAAAAAAAAAAACCAGACTAAGAATTAAAAAAAAAAAGCTTCTGGACCAAGGACAGTGGCAAAATTGCCTACTGAGGATGTAAAATTTTTTCAGGCACTGTGTCGCTGGACTAGACCTGTTTCTGCTCCCAGGTTAAAACTGGCATGTGATGGAGGATAGTTTGGGTGAGAGATTTGTAATATGCTGCCTTCAGATGTAGCTGAGGGGAAAAGCCCTTTAGCAACTGGCTGCCTTGAGAACTATTGGGCTGGGGTCATGCAAAAGCAAGGCTTGGGGAGTGAGAGGCACTACAGCACCTTAATGGTGTCCAAAGTCAGTCTCCACTCTGTCTTTGAAGAAAGTGGAGTCCATGTCCAGATCTGTGATCTCCCACATGTGGGTTCATCAGGGCTCAAAACATCATAAGGAAACTCCCCAGTACTCAGGGAGAGTGAATTGTTGTCCATCGTATTTAGGACAGCCTAGAGGTCCTGAACTGAATTAGGGTTGCTGTCCCATTTACTCTAGCAACAAAGAGCTGATGCCTTTCCAAAAGACATGGAAGGAAGGACAAGGAAGAAAAAATTAGGAAGGCAGATCCTCCCAGGGATAGCTTTCTGCCCTACAGGTCAGATGGTTAATATTTAACTCTAGATCGAAAGAACAGATGTATCTGTTCATCTTTTCTTGTTTTAGTTTGTAATCTTTTTCAGAATTCTACCTTTGGAGAGAGCTTACTCCAGTAAATTCCCCAGACCTACCAGTTTTACCTTTGTTATCTTTCAGTTGCTTAGCTATTACGGTTTATTTGTATACAGTTGCCATTTTCTTTATATTTCTCATTAAAATAAGCTGTACCAGTTTTACTCCACTTTCTCAACACAACCCTCTCCCTGCCCTCAAATCCCTTTTAATAACTTCTTTCCATCAGAAAAAAAAAAAAAAAAGATCAAAGGGAGCAGGGATAACACAGCACTAACTTAAACATTCTTCAACATTTTCTCCTGATCAAACATTGAATTTGCCTTTAGCACAAATTTAATTTAGTTCTGAGTCTTTCAAGTTAGAACGTGGATGCCACCAATTTATGCATAAACCTCAGCATTTTCTATAGCTCTGAATTAATGTTTTGTTTCCTATTCAATATAGATTTGTGATACCGTACTAAAAAGGTTATATTGTAAAAAGTATCTGAACTCCCATGCCCAACTGAAAGTAGCTGAAGTCCACTCTGAAAGATGCGAAGCTAAACACTGTACTGGTAACTTTCCTCTCCACTTTCTGATTTCTGTCAACTTAAAAATCTCAATATTGATACTTTTTTTTTAAACTAAGTTGTTATATTTCTAGATCTAACTGCTAAATATGATGAAATAGCACTCCAGTGCTGGCTAGTGAGTCTTGATGGAAGCAGTGAAGATTAATTTGCTACATTAATTTGTTAACCCTTGCACCCTTATCATTGGAAGATCTGAACATACACATTTACACAACTTCTCATACGCTCTTCACATTCTGTGAATGTATCTTTGGAAAAAAAAAAGTTCATTTAAGAGTTTATGTAAATGACTGTAGGACTACAGCAGTCTAACAATAAAAAAGAGATTACACTCTTTTACACGTATGACTGAATCTTTCTTAAATTGCTCTGATTTTTAAGCTGTTGCCGAGATTTTTTCACAAGTGTGAAAAAGTGTGTCTGTAGGCTACAAAATTGCTCAAGCACTTAAAAAGTGAGGAACAGACTAAATAACAGCATGCACTTTTTATAAGGATGCAGGGTTTAAGGTTTATAAGGTGCCTGCTGAGGCTGCAGGGGAAAGTGATTATAAGGCTTAGCCTCTTAAAACATTTGTATGCACAGGTCCTGGAATGTGGAACAGGGAAGTCCAGGATTGCCTTGATGATTTCAGGCAAAGCACTTGAGCCAGCTTTCCCCAAAATCCTTTATCTGATTTTTTGAGAGTTCAGCTTTGAGGATGCACTAATTAAGACATGGATATGAACTAACTGCAGTCGTAATAGATGGGATTTATAGGTACTCTGCATGTGACCACAATGTCAGCAGCCCAGACACCAAAAATTTCAAACCTAGGAAACTTACCTTTTGGATGTTTCTATTTCCCTGTTACTAAAATGTGAAAAATAATAAGCTAACCCTCTGTAACTCAGGATATTATGGAACTAATTTTAATGTTAAACGTCAAATAAACAGAAAACAAACCATAGTATGCTGTATCCAAATGTTTACTGGAAACTGATGCTTTTGAAAGCTCTTCCAAAATAGCAATTAAAAAAAATCTCTCTGAAATTATCTTACCCCTTTTCCAAAAGATACTGCACAACATCTCTGTTCCCACTTGCACATGCGGTCATCAAAGGTGTTTTGTAATATTTATCTTTTATGTCTACTGGCACACCCTCCTCAAATGCTTTCTGTAGAGACAGAATATCTCCTGTTCTGACGAGGCAGTTAATATTCATGTATATTTTCCCTGGCTCTTCTATATACCAGGCGCGGTCATCATGCACAGGATGGGCAGATGGGTGGTCTTGCTTACAATGGGAGCTATCAGCAGTGCTCTGAACAGCCTCAATCATGTACACAGGAAAGCCATCTTCCCTACGTGGACACGCGCTCTTTGGAATAACACAGATCGGCACAGGGATGACATTGCCCTTTTTGCCTTTTTGTTTCTTCCCTTTCTTCTTCTTCTTCTTCCCTTTGGGTCCAAAGGATGTTATAAGACAGTTTTTCTGCACATATTTAAAGCCTTTAAAAAATTCTGCAGTGTCGATTCCTTCAGAGTTAGGTCCTTCATGCATTTCAGCAATAGATCGTATTTGTTCAACATCCACAAAGGCACATTGCTTCTGAACAACTGATATAAAATCATCTTTAGCTACTGTCCCATCTCCTTGGTCAACAGCCTCAAAAGCCTTGTGGAGGGCAGCCTGGTGCTCCAAGGACCAGTCGTACAGTCTCAATGTCCAGTGAGATTTGTCCTCCTCAGCCCCAAGCTTGGACTTTTTTGCAAAGTTCTTTTCAATTTTGCGCAGTTCTGTTACTGCTGCTTTAAAACCGCCTTCTTTGGCAATGGTTCTTGGGGTCTTTGTTAACAAGTTTTTCCATGTAGGATCACAGCCTAAAAATATGGACACAATATCACTGATAATGCTGATCACTCTGATAACACTGATAACTCCTAATTATGTAATAGAAGAAACTTGCAATGTATATGTAACTAATTGCCACAGGTCTACAATTTTGTACTGTCTTAACTATAAATAGTGGTAGATGGAAGCACATCATGGATCCCAGACTGGAAGGTTAGCCATGTACCTGTGTTTGTTTCCCAAAGGGAGATTCACTGGGCAGCCCACATTCTACTTATCTGTCCACTCATGAATATGTATAGGAAGGCAGGAGTTCAGTGGAAACTTTACATTTTTACTTAAAGTGGTGAGGAAGGTTAAGAAAAAACAAACTAAGATTAAAATATCACTCAATGTTCTATACCCCAATGTTGCAATTTGGTGATGGATCACTACTTAAATGTTTGAAACACAAAACAGAACATAGGATTCTGCATAGTCCTCTTGAATCAAAGCCTGAAGTGCTGTGATGATCTGATTAAGTTAGAAAATTATCACAGCTGCTTTGGAGTATGTTGCAATACCTATGGGTGTTAAGTTTTCCCCATGATGAGACAGAGATCTCTTTTTTCTTTTTTTTGTCTTTAATTATCAGCAAACCAAAAATTAATTTTCTATTTGAAGCTTCAATGCAGTATATCAAACCAACTAAAACCAGACTCACTTAATACAGTCCAATTCCAAGTTACACAAAGCCATGATGTTTCCGCTGCTTTCTTTGAGAAATTTTTTTCTCAGCCACATGAGTAGAAATAAGTCATAATAGCCTGTCAGGCACATCTTAATGAGAATTTGCCACATGATACCCCAGAGAGTAAAATCCTTCAATAATGCCAAGTGAGATCTTCCCTTTAGCACAGAAAAAGAATATACATGATAGTTGCAAAATAACTTATTTTTAATGTACCTCTTTGTCCTATAAACTTGCAGCAAATTGAAAATCCTCCTTCCGCAGCATAATGAAGTGGTGTGTTACCATTCATAGCAATCAGGCCCAAGTCTGCATTATAAGCTGAAAGAACCCTCAGAACCTAGAAAAACGGAGACAGTACTACCAAAAATCTTGTCTATTTCTTAAGATGGAGAAGTGTGAGAATGATTTACAAATAAATGCAATAACATATATTCCCAGTTTATATAGTGAAGTTCTCTCCCATGCTCAGCTGATCTATGTGAACATAACATTCAAGCTTTCTGTAGTACTGTGCTTACTTAACTTGGGAAACAGAAACCTTGTTCAGTCCTAGACAACTACCTCCCTACTGCAGGCCACTGTCTTAAAGTAACTCTGATGTTGCATGCACAATCAAAACTGCCTAATTTTATTTACTTTGAAGATGGTATGGAGGATAAGGAAGAAAGCACCTACCTGCAGCTGTTTGCACCTGCCCTTGTTATAAAGGTAATGTTTCACCCAAGTTACACAGCTGTGACAGGCTACATATTGAGAGAAATGAGATCTCCAATGGGGCTGTTCACACCAGACAGCCATGCTAGCGCACACACTCAGAGGTACCTTGGCAAAAAAGGCTCTGCAATTATGAGAGAGATTCTATCACTGCTGGATTCCCTTTGATACTTCAAAAGAAGCTGTTATCGACTGCTGGTTATTATGCTTTGATCAGCTGAGATACTGGACTGAAAAAAAAACAAAACCAAAATGCCCAACCCAAAGAAAACAAACAAAAAAACCACCCCGGCTTTGGCTTTGCAGCAATGCTTTAACGCCACAAATGATGATACCTCAAAAAAGCCTCCTTTGGCTGAAAAATGTGCGGCACTATGTCTTTCATGGTCAAATATGTTAACATCAACTCCTCTCTCAAGTAGACCACGGACGACCTCGACAACACCTTCTCTTGCGGCTTCCATTAAGGCTGTTCGACCGGTAGCCTGCAAGGTAGCAAGAAAACAGTTCAGAATTTGTTTTGGATGCTAATTCAGTTTGGAAAAATATGATCTGATTATTGCAAAGTGGCATAAAATTGAAGGTGTCCTTTTATGTATTACTGAAAAAAGGAGACAAGTCTAATAGTTTCAAAGATACTTGTAGGTAAACCTTAAGAATCTAGTCATAATGCTGCTAAAATCTGTGTAGTCAAATCCCAGCAACTCAAGTACATTAGTAACTTGAGTCCCTTGAATACTTCCCATGAAAATCAATTCCTTAGTTAAGGTGTTCTTTATTCTGTGTGTGTGCTCTCATGCATGTTTATAAAATCTAACACAAAATACCACCTTTATCATGAAAGAGCATAAGGAGCTATGGCTAAAGGAGTGCTATGGGGAAGGCAGAGCTGGGGAATTTCACTACCGTTCTGTCTGAGAAGAAAACCTTACATTCTAAACACTAGTGCTGTCTCTTTTTCTAGGTAACAGTGTATGCCTGTGATTAACAGTGCATATTTTCTTTATAATGGCTGATTTTGCCAGATCTGGTGACCTTCTCAACAACAGAGCACATCTTGGATCAGAGATCACCTGCTATTAACATGCAGGCCCACAGCAAACTTAGAATATCTGACTTGCTGCTCTACAGATGGGCAAAGAGAGTGGTGAGCCGTGGATATTGATCCACTGAACCATACTTTCTTCCCTGATATCTGGCTTTCTCTGGATCTGGCAAACCATTCCTATTATGTGACCGGGTATGTGTCCATCATACTGCAAAAAAAATTGAGGTTTCTCATACTGCACGCATATTGAGCGCATGAAGCGGAGATGTGCATGAGAGGATGGGATAAGGATGCCCAGACATTGGGCTTTCTATAGCTACAGGCTAGGAAAGATACTGAAAAACTAGGACAGAAGCAAAAGCCACGGGTAGTGTTAAGGGAAAGCTTGAGTTCCTTGACTTGATCCACAGCACAGACCTTCAGTCCTTTAGGTCTTTGTTAAATTAAAGAAGTAAACAAATAAATTGCTACAACAAAAGTACAAAAGAGTGAAATGAGTTTCTTATGTCTTGTCCCTGCCTTGAACCCTGATCAGATTTTTTTTATGCAGGACTCATGTTTTAGTGTACATTATTTCAACCTTGAAAACCTTAGGCAAAGTAGAAAGCAGCATTGCTCCACTGAAGTACGTTGAACTGCAACACCTAAGAGCTGGCCCAGTTACATTTAGTTTCTGCAAAATATTTGCACTCTAATAATTAAACAAAAATCTAAACTGGGATATGTGGTTCAAGCAGAAACTTAAACCCCTGCTCCTGCAAAAAAAAAGGTGGTACAGAGGAAGGTAATAGGCATGACCACAGAGTTAAGCACTTGACACTGCTTTATTATTTTAATGTGAGGATTTAAGGTTACATACTCTAATTGTCTGGTAACAATTCTGTACTCTTGTATAAATGCTTTTAGTTACAGACATATTCATACCGAGTTTCTTGCATTGGGATTTGCTCCTTTTTCCAATAAATGCAGACATATTTCTTTAATATGATGAGCATGCTCACAGGCCTGTAGAAATAAAGGCTTCCTATCAGCAGTACAGTTGTTAACATCTGCACCATAATCCAAGGCAATTTGCATGCAGCGGTAGTGCCGTTCTGTAGGTAGAAGGCAGTAAAACAAAATACCTGCAAAGAAAACCAGCAGGAGTTATGGTGCAATACTAAATTATTAGAAAGGTTATTTAGGCTGCAAGCTTCACAGCTGAATGAACAAACTCCTTCAATAGAGACTCATTAACTTCCCTTAGGATATATACATGCAAAAAAGCCGCCTAGTTTAGGGCCTTTGAACTCTAGTAAACCAGAATTTAATATGTGACAGGTCATGAGAAGAATCACAAGTTATGTCTCAGATATGTGCTGGAGAGACCTATGATTTAAAGACCTAAACTGTTCAAGAAGAATTATTTTCATTTTCACCAAAGCTCTCACGCCCAACAGCTGCTGTTGAGCTGCAAGGATTACCCTTAACCACGGTTCCTCTCTACAGATTGGACACAGCATAGGGAGCAAGTGTGTAACACAGTGAGGGGTCATTTTATGGCATTTCTGGTCTGATAAGGTTCTTTTTTACTTACCTTTCCCTTCATTATCCACAGCAGTCATATCTGCTTTAGCTTTTGCTAATAACTCCAAAACCAACTCATGACCTAGCTCAGCTGCCTTCATTGCTGCAGTACATCCCATTTTGTTCTGGACATCCGGATGAGCTCCCTGTTCCAGCAAGAAGCTGCACATGTCAGTGTCATTTTTAATGCAGGCCAAAAGAAGGGCACTATATCCTTCCATAGGCTCTGTAAAATTAATGAGATTTGGGAATCCATTCTGGACCAGCTTTTTTATTTGCTCCTTGTCTTTCTGGTGAACACACTGAAGAAGTTTGTAAATCTGTAAGTTTAGAAGTCTCTTATCTACTGGTAGCATCCTGGAATATGAAGAAATGGCTTCTTTCAAGGAAGTAATTTCTGTATGGGGAGAGAAGAAAACATGTAAAGTCAGAGATGAGATCATAATTACATGTCAGTAAGAACAGGAATCAAACTATGTTCAAGGCGTGAAAATACCCACTTTAATGTGACAAAGCACTAAACTTGGAATGAATTTATCTCATATAGAATATACAGCATATAGAGAGACTGTATAAATACACGTAGCACCTTGCAAAATTTTTCTTTCTAGTCTTCAAACTCTTCTGAAGAAGTCTCATTCAAGGTGAAAATTAAGTTAAAAAACTAAGGTAACTGCTTTCCATTCAAGGGACTGTTATAATCTACAGTTACTTTGAAGCCTAAGGGGAGGATGATCATCTGTCATTTTAGTACTTTACAGGGGAAAAAAAATAAATCACAAGTCACAGTGTCCTCTGCACTTGCTGAAACATAAAACTGACACTGGCATCACCTCATCAGTACCTGAGCACCTTCTTATTTTTTTGGTAGCTGATGCATGAACTTCCTGCTGGGCTACTTACATGAAAGAGAAATTGCATTTCTCTGCAGCAAAATCCTTAGTGAAAAAAAATATGCAGACAGTGGGGCACTGGCCTGGAGAAAGTTTCCCCCAGGTGATGCAACCCATGCTTCCTGAGAAAAGTGCGGTGGAGGAAACCAGCTTTGCATTTGCCTCAATCCTAATTTTTTTAAAGGCTTTTTAGCCTCTTTTAGCTAGTCTCAGCACTTGTGGCTGGAGGGCCAAGCAAGGGTCAGACACTGTAAGAACCATTTCTGAACCTTGCTTAAGCAGATGGGAAGCTTCCTATCAGCTTCAGCAAGCCTTGGGTCAGCCTGTCCTCCAAATGCGACAGGGCGTTTACAGGACATGCAACAAAAAAATGTGGAGGAACAGCATCCTGTTAGGAAATACTTGGATTTTGTGGGATTTTCTTAATTAGCAATATAGCCTGTAAATGAGACCACTCCGCAATCTGTTTGGCTACTGCTGGATGCTCTCTGGATGTCCAACAAAAGGTGAGTTTTAAGAGAGAGATGCAGAAGGATGCACAATTCCAATAGACATTTTGAGGCAACACCTCCCATTCTGGAAAAGAAGCCTGAGAGAAAACTGCAGGAAAAGTAGAAAAAAGTGAACGAAGGCTAATCATTTTGGGAATGGAGAGAGGCGATTTTTGTACCACAGGTATAACGTGCCAGTTGTCATTTCTGTAACTGCCATCTTTCATTTCTTTTGAAGTTCTGTGGCCAGCCTGATTTTGGAACAAGGGACAGGGGTCAAGTGTACTGTTGCCAGATTTCTAAAAACTATTCCTCTTGTGTGTAAGCTGAACAAGCTGCTCGAGACTCTCCCTGTGCCATGTTGCCTAAAGACACCTGCAGGCCTAAGTCAGGCGTTATGTGCAAAACAACCCTGCTTCACCATCTGATACATCTGACTGCAGCCAGTCGCTCCTCTCCTGTAAGAGAGCTAAAATAGCAGGGGTGTTTCAGGAAAGGAGTAAGGAAAATGTAGGGAAGGGCTGTGCAATGTCTGGATCCACTTAAAAGCTGTCCTTTCCAGTCTATGGAGCAGTGCAAAAATATTGTAAAATGTTCATGTTTTGCTAGAAAAACTGTCATTGTAACAGTTTTGACCAGCTCTACACCATGCTTTATTTGAATGGCATTATTATAAGTTGGCTCACATGGAGAAGTGTTTAAGTGGGCACTAAAATGCAAAAACTTTCTCTTTGCAGTAAAATCAGGTCAGAATAGGTCAGCTACTCACAGAGTTTGAGGGCTTTCTCCATTTAAATATGACACTGCTTAAATGCTAAACTCTTTTCTGTGTAGGTCTTACACAAGGCTCATTCTGATCATACAGAAAATATATTCTAACATTGTATGATTAGATCATTAAGTAGCAGTAAATTAAGTCTGTTGCCTGTGGCTTGCTTATTCTCATCCCTACCATGCTGTGCTTCTTACAGCATATTGTCCTGTGAAAGGGAATAAATACAGAGATTTTTATTATTTTTTTCTACTGACAGGTTACAACTCTAGCAGCTCTCTAGTCCTAAAGTTTAGAGTTGAGAAATAAGGCTAATTCTGGGTAATGCCTTGGTAGAAGCACAAACTAGAGTTCCCTGTGGGGTCTAACTTTTAGAGCCTGAATCATTGGGAAATAATTTTTGAGCAAATCCTCAATACAGGAAGTTTTTCCTGGGTTCTGAGCGCAGGAAATGAAGCAGTGTAAACTCTGCAGGGGTTGCAGCAGCAAGAAGCAGCAAGAAGGTACTGCAGAGAAGGCTCTTACAGTACTTACACCATTGAAATTCAGCGAAAGAACTGTTTTTAAAGATACTTAGATGGACCTGACATGCTTAAATGTTCTCTCATACTCTTGTTCAATTTCGCACCACTCTGCAGCAGTAAGGAACTTGAATTCATTTCCAAAAACGGGATCCTTTCTTCCCACTATTATTCACAAGTCTGAAACTAAAGTGAATTAAGTACGCGATTAGGTATTACTTGCTCCCTACAACCTTTGCTCCATTCAGGACATGAGATCAACAGCACACCTTACACTCACTGCACGCTTTCCTCTTTGTTCACAGGGTAATGTATTACATTTCATTACAATCTTTGCCTCAGTTCAGCCTGATCAGTTTTTCCTGGTGCTTTTGAGATGCTTATCATGGTATTCTTTTAATACTTCACACACAGTAACAAAATTATTTCCGTAAACGTAAGTGAAATTATTTTCATCACAATGGTGAAGTATGTTCTTATCACAATACAACAACCAGTGAGATCCTACCAAGTTTAAAGACTTTGCTTCAAAGCATTAAGAACCAACAATTTCCATGAAAACAATCATAACATTTTAACTGTGACAGGTAATATTTCTTTGCCATATTTCTTGAAAGTGGCTAGATCAAGTTTTATTAGAAGTTTCTACAGTAACAGAATCAAAGACAGAAACCCCTACCCAGAGTCAGGTAAAGTTACAAGCAAGTGACACAGGCTTCTATCATGAAAATATAACTACAGCATCCTGCATTTTTTAATGAAATAAATACTATCAAACATACATACTTTATAGAGTTTTTTATCACTTAACCTGTAACAGATGTTTTAATGGAAAATGAGGGATTGTTAAGGTGGCTTTGAGACAGTCATGCTCAGGGAGGACTTCATGAAGCTATAATCATAAATCCCAAGCTTGTAACATCTGCTTAGCAACAATTTTATCTGTTGACAGATATCAGCAGAATCACCACCTTCCTCCTGCCAGCTTGTGTCATCGTTTTGGTTGAGAGCATGAACTAATTTCAAATTCAGATTAATCCTTTTCTCAGTACAACTAGTCTTAAGAAAATAATTTTCATCTGTTCTTGTTTTCTCTCAAAGCCTTCCAAGCTGTGATCAAGGAACACAGATAGAGAGGGAAGGTCTGGTGGCCAGGGCTCTTACATACTGACTCTGTCAAAGCCTGGTGCCTGACTGCTGCTGGAAGCACTCATTACTCTTTTTTTAAAGTTTTCAACATTTTTCAGTTTCAATATTTCAAGTTGAAAGTAACCCTTTAATTATCACTATTCACAAACCAGTAAACAAAATTTTCATGTGTTTTATCTTTAGTGAGAGAAAATAGCTTAGCACTTTCTAAATTTAATCCATTTGCATGCTGGCCATAGAGATAAGCATAAACCCTATATGCCAGTATAAAAGAAACCAATATGGTAACAGTGCCACACTGTACAGCTTTATACAAACAATTGGCCTGGATTTTTGACTGTGACTTATGTTTAATAGAAGCAATGCAGCAAAATCCTCCTAAAAGTGAATTTCAGTATAATGAATAGCCTATAATGCTGGGTTTTCTCTTTGAGCCCTTCTTGGTGTTAACTCTCACGAAACATTTTAATTTGCACTGAGGCACAGCTCCGCGCTGAGTGACCACTGCTTCCCTGGCAATTCCTGTCTGAACTGAGCAGGTTTCAATCTTGCATTAAGATCTTTGCCCAGATGCAGCCCTCTGGGAAACTGGGCTTAGTCCTGAGTGCTGTAGACAGTGCTGCACTTATGGCTGGATTAGATCAAAAGACAGGCATCCTTTTGTCTTCAGTTTGCCTGGCAACTTCCAGTCACTTTAGTGCTTATCCACACTCGAGTAGTAGAGCCCTCAGGGCCAGCCAGCGTCTGTATGAGCAACACCTGCTGGGGACAGGGCCTGAGAGGAGGTTGCACCTCAGCCACAAGAGCTTGGGCTCCCTGCAAGCCCCTGGACTGTTGTTAGCTGGTGATGAGGAGAGGCTACAGCCAGGACCAAGGAACAGGGCATGCAGCCACTCCTACAGAGCCTGAAGTGCTGAGGGCCCTAGGGAAGCCAGGTAAGGGTGTTAAGCTGGTGTTAAATTATTTTCCTTGGGTTGCGACTCAGAGGAATGGATGGCCTTGTAGAGGAGACTGTGTTTAATGGGAAAGAAACTGCTGGGTAGTTTGTTTTTTTCATTGAAGAGCTGGTGTTGACCCACACTGTACTTATGTGATAAGGATTTGCTTGTCTGACAATGCAGAAAGACAAACTGAGGTAAATTCCAGTCTGCCCTCCTCTGAGAGAAGTGTCAGGCGTTAAGGGGGGATGTGTGTGCTGATGTCTAGCGTGGAGTTTATATTTTAGAAATCTGAAGCCCAGCAACTCTGTGGTGCTGCTCGCTTTGCCCTCTCCTTGCCTGTAGGTGGGCCTGCATCCCACGCCGTGCCCTACGTGCTGCGAGGCTGGATTCGGCCTTCACAACCCGCCGGCTCTACTCCAACC